ACATGGCAGCTAACAACTGTCTGTAACTCCAGTTCCCGGGGATCTGACAGTCCCTTCTGTGGGCATTGTAAAACATGGGTGCACTTATCTACATGCAGGGAATACACACATACACATAAAATAAAAATAATAAATAGAATTTTTTTTAAAAGAAAAAGATAAAACAAAGATTCCTAGTGCCAACATGGTGGCCCATGCCTATAATCTCAGCACTCAGCACTTGGGAGGCAGAGGCAGGCAGATCTCTATGAGTTTGAGGCCAGCCTGGTCTCTGTGGTGAATCCAGGCCACCTGTGGCTACGGGAGACCCTGTCTCAAAAAGACCAATAAATAAATAAATAAATAAATAAATAAATAAATAAACAACAACAAAAGGATTCCTTTCTTCTGGTTTCTGCTGTCATCAAGCATACACATCTTGATGCCATATGTTTGATACATCAATTTTAGGAGGGATCTCAAGAGTTCAAGGCCAGCCTGGTCTACATAGTGAGTTCCAGATCAGCTGGGGCTACAGGGAGATCCTGTCTCCAAAAAAAAAAAAAAAGCCACAAAAGGACAAATACTGTGTGATTCCACTTACATGAAGTACTTATAGTTGTGGGGCCAAGAGATAGCAAGGAGAGGGAAGCAGAGAGTTCCTGGCTGACGGGCAGAGTTTCAGTTTATAGGGTGAAGAGTTAGAGGTTGGATGGTGGTAACAGCTGCACAACAGTCTAAAAATCTTTAACACCACTGAGCTGTATAGTTAAACGTGACACTTGATAAATTTTATGTTGTGTAGGTTTCTTATTGCTGTGTGTTTTGAAACATGGTCTCGTGTAGCCAAGGATGACTTTGAACTCACTAGCTACCCAAGGATCATCTTCAACTCTGAATCTTCCTGCCACTGTCTCCCAATCCCAAGTACTAGAATTACAGGCATGCACTAGCATGCTTAGCTGTGTTATGCATATCTTTTTTAAAATTTAATATTTTTATGTGCATGAGTATATTGCTTGCATGTATATAAATGCACCCATGTCATGCAGTACCCATGAAGGTCAGAAGACAGCATTGGATACCCTGAAATTATAGTTACGGACGATTGTTAGCCACCATGTGGGTGTTGGGAACTGAACCTGGGTCCTCTTCAAGATCAGTCAGTACTCTTAACTGCTGAACCATCTCGCTAACCCCTGTTATGTGTATCTTAACACACTTAAAATGTTGGAAAAGATTAAAAAATTGTTACAGGACTCTCTGTGCTCACATCCAGAGGAAATGCTACATTTCTTTATGAGGTTAGTCAAAGATGCCATTTTTATCCCACCCCAATAAGCACATAACCTTCTTTGCTTTCACTGCTCCAGGGACAGCTTCGTTTCACTGTTCCCATAAAAGGGCATCTGAGAGGAGCCAGGCTGTTCCTCTTTCCCTCTCCTACTTTTTAATTCACCATTGTTGACTTCTACCCTTGACCCCTTGAACTGCTAGTATCAGGCTCATCTGTTCCCTCCACATTGTCAGATCTACTGGGCACTTGACCTTTTTCCATGTTGTCAGATCTACTGGGCACTTGACCTTTTTCCATGTTGTCAGATCTACTGGGTACTTGACCTTTTGGCATCATTTTGACATAGTTGACTGCTCCCTCCTGGACTTTCTCTCTCTGGGCTTCTGTTACACCATATTTTCCCTGATTTCTATATGGCTCTTCACTGGCTCCCAGACCGCTAGATATGGGGTTCTAAAGGCTGGTGTCCTGGGTGCTCGTCTTTCTCTGTAATCCATTCCCAGGATTTCCACACTCTGATTCTGTTGATGGTTGCTCCATTTGATCTCCAGCCTTGCCCCTCTGAGTTCCAAACTTTGCTGTCCACCTGCCTCTTGTCTCATGGACCTCCCCTGACTGCACCTGAAACAGATTAGCAGCACCTTCTACTCCCACGACACGCTTCCTCATCTTAGTGCCACTGTCATTCCCAAGTATTCTATAAACTCCTGAAACATGCCTCTTGCCACACCTCAGCAACAAAACCTGTGGATTCTATTCCTGCTGAGTCCATTTCCTTCTCTTCATTTCCATGGCAGACTGTCCAGAGCCTAAGCCCCCACAGTCTAGGCCTCCACTTTCCAGGCCTCCGTAGCCCAAGCCTCCACTGTTCAGGCCTCCATAGCCCAAGCCTCCACAATTCAGGTCTCCACAGCCCAGGCCTCAACAGCCCAAGCCTCCACAGTTCAGGTCTCCACAGCCCAGGCCTCAACAGCCCAGGCCTCAACAGCCCAAGCCTCCACAGTTCAGGTCTCCACAGCCCAGGCCTCAACAGCCCAAGCCTCCACAGTTCAGGTCTCCACAGCCCAGGCCTCCACAGCCCAGGCCACTGTCTCTCTTATCTGAACCACTCCAGAAGCCTCTTAACCAGTTTCCTCACCTCTATTCTTATGTCCCTTCCCCGTATCATTCTGCATGCTGTTGTGAGAATTGTCACACATCCACTCTTCTGTTTTCCTGCTGCTGTTTCTGTGGCTTCTCAGAGTCCCTGCTTTCCTGTATGGATGGTCTGCTCTCTGCCTTCATCTCTACCATCATTTAATGTCATTTGCCCCTCTTTACTGTGTTAGTCACACTGGTTTTATTTAACTTCCTTTCCTTATACCAGCTCTTTCTGCCCTTGATGTCTTGGCAGTTTAGTCTTTTTAAATATCTAACTTCCTTCCTCCTTTAATAAGGTATTAGCTGAAATTCACTTATTCAGAGAGATTATTTCTACATTCCTATGTCTCTCCTACGTAGTGGAAATTTACATTTTTATCCTAATACTTGCTATACTTTGCAGTTGAATATATAGTAATTTTTCTTTTCCAGTAGAAAAATAGAAAATGAGGTCAGGGACTATGTTTAATGGGCTCGTTGTTCTGGTCCCAGCGCCTTGAATAATATGTATTGCCTCACATGTAGAAGGCAGTTACTAGTTGTCTTTTTGTGTGTTTAATGATTGCTTTTTGTTTTGTTTTGACACAAAACAGGTAGCCCAGATAGCCCTGCTGCTTGGTAGCCCAGGCTGGCTTGAAACTTTTATGTAGTTCAGATTGGCCTTGAATTCACCCTCCAGCCTCTGTCTCCCACATACTGGGATTATGGATGTGCACCACCATACCAGATAAAATGGTTATAAAATGACAGAAAGAGGAATGGAGGTATAACTCAGTGGTAAAGTGCTTGCCTAGCATGGACTAGGCCTTGGGTTCAATCCCCAAACCTTTGTAGGAGGGGGGCAGGGAGAGAGGGGGCGAGGAAAGAAGAAAGAGGGAAAGAGAAGAAATGAGAGAAAGAAGAAAGTGGGAGGAGAAGGGGAAGGAGAAAGTATTTGGGGAGGCTGTGGTGGAGGTAACAAAGGAGAAGGGGAGGAAGGCGTGTTGAGGGATGAGCTGCTGTGCTCCTTCTTGCAAGCATACCCCTCCTTTACGTCCCAGGTCTTCCCTGCCTTTGCTAGTCTGTAGTGTCTGTTAGAGGAACTGTCTAGTGGTCTAAAGTGCTGCCTTCCTCAGACCTAACACTTGGGGTTCTGGAGCCCTCAGCAGCCATGGCTCTTACTCTTTTCCATGTGTTTCTGCACAGGCTCCTGTTTAGTTCTATGACATCACTGATGGAGATGAAGTCATGTGCTCAGAATCATCCTGCTTGTGAATGGAAGAGGCCCTTCTGTTCAGTCCGGGCCTTTGTGGCTTTATGGGCTGTGTTCTTAATGCCACATCGGACCATAATCAGTAGTGGTTTTCTAAGTATCAACAACCAGTGTATAATGAAATTCATTATTTTGTATCACAGCTGAAGAGTAAATCTCCAGTCCCAACTGGCCTGGAACTCGCCAGCTGCAGTAGCCTCTTAGTTGATCTCCCTGCTTCTCTGCTTGTCCCTTTTGGACCCTGTCCTAGCTAACAGATTTCTTTTTCCAGATATAAGTTAGATCATGCCCTACTCTTTTCCTCATTATACTTGCCACTGAAACTCTGCTGGGCACAGTACACACTTTAATCCTAGCACCCAGAGGAGGCAGATCTCTGAGATTGAGGCCACCCTGGTCTACATAGCTGGTTCCAGGCCACCTGGGGCTACAGGGGTACCCTGTCTTAAACTAGAAACTCGGCGGAGGCAGGGTGGTGGTGGTAGTGTTCTTGTTTGTTTTTCGTGTTGGTGTGATGTTGAGGATCCACCCAAGGTCCTTAAGCATGCTAAGCACATGTTTTACACCTGAGTTACAAACCTGGCCCTTAAAACTGAGGAGAAAGCTGGGGGCCCTTGAGTGACCGAGTGCTTGTCTCCTATGCACAAGGCTCCGAATTCCATCCTGGGGCTGCAAATAAACAAAGAAAAAGAAAACCACAGAGACAAACAAGTCATGGCATGTCTGCTCATGACTGAAAGGCCCCCATTCTCTGCCCCTTGGGTTTCCTATAGCCTTTCTCTCTGCTCTAGCCATGCCGGCCTTCTGTTCCCTTCAGCTTCCTCAGATTGCCTTTTCCATCTTTATACCAAAGTTTCTTCACGTTAGAATTGGCTTCCCCACCGAAACTCTTTGTAGGGCTGGTTCATTTACTAGTTAAAGATGCGGTGTAAATATTACCTCCCTAGAGAGGCTTTCTCTGACCACTATTTAAATAGCACACATGTGCCCTCTTTGTCCACTAAGCACTCCTGGGTTCTCATGTAACCTGTGTGCTTTCCTTTTTTTTTTTTTTGGCTTGTTAATGGTCTCTCTTCTGGTAATGTGTAAGTTTCAGAGGGTAGCCTCTTTGGTTTATTGTATTTTCAAGAAAAATGCCTAGCAGCTAGTGAACTCTTCAGTATTTGCTGGGAGAGGGCAATAATTGTTTTATGTACTTACTAAAAATTTTCTTCCAATAAGAATTGCCACATTTCTGCTCTTAGGGTTTTTGAAAGTTACAGTTGTATAAATGTTGAGAACTACCTCTGTGATCTCTGAATTGAAATGGGTTCCTTTTCTCGGTTCCTTTAGAATGCACCAGATTGAGGCTGCTCCTACCAGCTCTGCAGGTGATGGCTTCAAGGCCAGTCTTGTCTTTAAGGAGATTGAGAAGAAGCTGGAAGAGGTGAGCACTGTGTAAAACATTGCCAGAGACCAGGAGTCTGGAAAGCAGATGGGTTTCAGGTGTTGCTGGGAAATGGCACAAGTTGAAATTTATGTCATGTAGTGATGTATTCAATGTGTTTTGGGTTCCTGAGTGTCTTGTAAGTCTTTAATTCTAGTAAAGACTACTTTTCAGGAATGTACAAATTTGAAAGTAGTAGTAAATGTTTAAAATCGTCACTTCTATTTTAGTCATCTTTGCCAGGAAGACATTCAGCTGTGGGTAAAATTCAGGTGTGAGAGGTTCTCATTTATTTTGATGTAATATTATTATTCTTTTGTATTTTTGAGACAGTCTTTGCTGGCCTCAAACTCCCAGCAATTCTCCTGTCTCAGCCTGCCAACTGCTGGGATTAAAGATGTGAGCCATCACACTCAGCTTTATAATTTCCTTCTTAATTAAAGAAATTTTACTTACTTTTACTTATTCCAAAGAATATTTCTAATTTTATTTATTTATTTTTAATTTTATATGTATGTGTGTATTGCCTGCATGTAGGTAAGTGGACCCATGTTGTGCAATGCTAGCGAAGGTCAGAAGAGGCTGTCGGATCCCCTGGAATTGGAGTTATGGACAGTTGTTAGCTGACATGTGGGTGCTGGGATTCAAACTCAGGTCTTCTGCAAGAACAACCAGTGTTCTTAACCACTGAACCATCTCTCCAGCCCCCAAAGAATATTTTTAAATGAACTTTCAAATGTATATGATACCAGAATTCTTTATATTATTACTTATTTTATTAGCATATAAATGTTAGGTTTCATAATGGCATCTTGAAACAAAATTTGTTTTTGTTGTTTCTCTTTATCCCGTCCAACTTTTAAAAGGAGTTACCATTTTGTTTTGTTTTTTTCAAAGCAGTAGCTCATAGTTCATGCTGGCCTTCAGCTCACTGTGTAACGAAGGGTGATCTTGAATGAACCCTTGCATTTCCTGTTCCTATGTCCTAAGTGCTAGGATTACAGGCATATACTACTGTGCTTAGCTTTTTATTTGCATTTTCCAGAGTACTTTTAAAATTTTATTTATTTTGATTTTATGTGTATGGGTATTTTGCCTGCATGTATATAAAAAGTTCATCACATGTGTGCAATGCCCACTGAAGTCAGAAGAAGGCATTAGATCCCTTGGAACTGGAATTACAGACGGTTGCTAGCTTTTTATTTTATGTGTATGCATGTATTGCCTGCATGTAGGTAAGTGCACCCGTGTCGTGCAATGCCTGCGGAGGTTAGAAGAGGCTGTCAGATCCCCTGGGACTGGAGTTATGGACAGTTATTAGCTGCCATGTGGGTGCTGGGTTATGAACCTGGGTCTTCTGCAAGAACAACCAGTGTTCTTAACCGCTGAGCCATCTCTCCTATCCCGGAACTGGACTTATAGTCGGTTATTAACTACTGTGTGGATGCTGGGAACTGAACCCGGGTCCTCTGCAAGAGCAGCCAATACATACTGAGTTTGTTATACTGTATGTGAAGATGTATTTTTATGTGCCATAATTAATTCTTGATAGATAATAGTCATACCAAGGCAATCTAACAGTATCCCTCCAAAAAGAAGTACTCTGAGGCAAAACTAGATATTTATTTCATTGTTTTAAATGTAGAAGTCTCTTGGAATTTCATTATGATTTTAGATTTTAGACCAAACCAGACACAGTTATAGCCATAATCACAATTCAGATCACACATCTAAGAAGGTGATTAAAGTGGGCCAGATAAACAAAAGGAGTCAAGGCTTTCAGGCTGTGTATTTCATTCCTGTTAGAAATACATAGTGAAAGGCACACACTGCTTGTTTAAGTCCTTTACTGTAGGGCATTGGGCTTCTTAACATCAGCCTGCACTGTGACTGGTGAGTCTTGTGAAGAGATCTGTGCTCCTAGGATTCTCATAATGATCAACAACCTTTGGGTGCTAGCGCAGAGCCAGCTGACAGCTCCGGCAGTGGCACTGACTCAGGAGCCGCAGAACTGTCAGGCTGCCATCTTGGGGGAATGCCTCCATGTGGGGCTACCTCATGCTGTTTTCTCTTGACAGTATGCTTTATGGCCGTAGATAAAGTCCTCACCATGCTTTTCAGCACATAGTACATGTTTACACATGTGTGCCAAAATTTATTCAACTGGCCTCCTGTGACAAACATCAGGTAGTGCTTAAATTTTGCAAGTACAGCATTGCTCTCATAAGTTTCTTTTTGTACTTTAGGTGCTTATGCTCAGATCAGTTTAGTTTAAATAATTAAAGGACAGAATTGTTGGGGGCCTAAGTGTGTAGATTTTACATTTTAATACAGTTTGCCATACTCCTACCAGAAAGAGGACACCCATTTACAAACTTACTAACAATTCAAGAGAATAACTCATTTTTTTTCTCCACACCTTCTCCAACATTACATTGACTTAAAATTTTGCCAGCCTACTCAGAAAAATATAGCTCATTATTGTGTTTTGCGTGGCTTTCAGTGCTATGTGTCCTATAAAATGACGACAAACTCTAAGTTTTTTGATTTATTTATTTTTATGAATGTACGTAAATGTACCATGTGCATGCAATGCCTACAGAGGCCAAAAGAGGGTGTCAGATCCCCTGGAACTGGAGTTAAACATGGTGAGTTGCCATGTGGGTGCTGGGATTTGAACGTGTGTTCTCTGGAAGAGCAGCCAGTGTTCGTAATGGCTGAGTCATCTTCTAGCCCTGAAAATGAACTTTTTCCCCCCTTCTCTTTCTTTCTTTCTTTCTTTCTTTCTTTCTTTCTTTCTTTTCTTTCCTCTGAGACAGGGCCGTGGATTGATCATTGAAGCCTCCCTTACTGGGATTAACAGGGTGCTGTTTGAATTTTGCACTGTGCTTTGACGTGTAAGCGCATGCCTCTTGTCCCGTTTTAATTCCTTGCTCCTTAACTTCACCCTCAGGAACCTTATCCCTTATATCTCTCCTTCCCACGATTCTTGGCTTCTTCATGTTTGCAGCACTAGAACGTGACTTGGAGTCTTTTGTCAATGAATGCATTTTTGCGTTAGCAAAGGCAACCTGGCAAGAGATTTTATTTCTGCCTTTTGTCTTAGCAATACTCCGTTGCCTTTCTTTGAATTCTGTCTTAATTTTTTTGTCCCTATTAAGTTTACAGCAGGACCTACTCCTTGACCTTAGCCTAATCATAAAGAAGTACTTTTCTTTCCAATGGGGACATTTAGAACTTACTTAGTACTTAACGAACTTACTTAGTACTTAATGATCTCCAGTTTCGAATTTTCTTTTCTCTTTTACCCTCCGTCCTCCCCAGTTGGTCCCTTACCCACTTTCACTCCCACTTCAAGTGAAAAACGTTTTATTGACCAAAGGGTATGTTTTTTTGTAAAATGATCAGTTGGTTCTCAAAAAGGAACAGCCAAGTGCAAATTAACTTATATCTGCTTTCAAGAGGTAGGTGGAATAAGTAGTAAGTCTGCAAGTATTTCTCTTCAAGCATGCAGTTACAGTTTCTAAATATTTGCTGGGATTTTCCTGCTATAACTTGGTGTCTGCTCATAGTTTTTTCATAAGGCATTGTGCAAGCAGATAGATGCACCTGGAAGTAATCATTCAAGAAACACTGTCCTCAGATGAAACCTGGCTCTTGGATGGCCTAGCATACCATGCCAACATGATTAACTCTTTCTTCTAGGCGATCTCCACAGAACCTTGAGAGAAGGTGTAGACAGTGGTGGGATGACCCTGAGCTTCCTTTCCATCAATAGTAGCAGATACTACTCTATGGTCATAGGCTCAAGTTTGGAAATACTGTTGGAAGCTATAGTTGTACTATGGTATGGTAGGATAGAAAGAACATTGGATTTGGGATTAATGCAATTGAGGGTTGAATTCAGGCATGACTACATTCTAGTTATAGGACCCTGCCCTTCAAGGAACATATTATTTAGTGGGAAGGGAGATGGAAAAAAAAAATATTGGAAAAAAAATGACAATATTAGCCAATCTGGGTACATGAAAGAGTTAGCATGTGAGCCAAGACAGGAATGATGAGCTCAGGGTGGTAAGTGTTCTGGGATAGGGTATGAGTGAGGGCATGGAGGCACAAGAGAACCTGGCACATTGGGCTAGTGGTAGAGCTCCTGTTCGCATTTACAAGGACCTGAGTTTGATCCTTGGTATCAGGGATGGGGGAATACATCAAGGATTATCAACATAAGTGGACCCAGATGAAATAACTTTTATAGCAGCTGCTTTTCTCTAAGTCTCGTGGTTGATTTCAGGTAGATTTGAGGGTAATAACTATAAAAAAAAAGATGGTGCTGGAGAGAGTGCTCAGCAGTTAAGATCACTGCTGATCTTGCAGAGGACCCTGGTTTGGTTCCCAGCACCCACATGGTGGCTAACAGCCTTCCTTAACTCCAGTTCCAGGGGATCTAAAACCTTCTTCTGACCTCAGTGGGTATTGTACACATGTGGTAGATTTAAATACATGCACAAAAAACACATAAAATACAAATGAGTAAATCAAAAACTGACACACTCAGTAGAATGACTAATAGAAGATATTTGCTGAGAATGTGGAGAAATTTGAACCCTTGTTATTGGTAGGATTGCAATATTGGTATAGCTACTTTAGAAAAAAGAGAGTTTAGGGGGAAAAAAGTTGAACAGCACTTATAATCCAGCAGCTCTCCTTACAAATATCTACCAAAGAGAGCCTGTGTCCAGATAAAATTCATGCACAGATATCTATAGCGATATTATTCATAAAACCCAGAAAGTGAAAACATCAAAACAAAATAGTGCTGGGGAAATGGCTTGGGGGTAAAGTGCTTGTTGAACAATCTCAAGTACTCCAGTAAAAATGGGGTGTGGCAGTGCATGCTTCTAACACCATTGCTGGTGGGGCAGAGACAGGTGAATCCTGGGGGCTTGCTGGCCAGCTAGTCTAGTCAAAACACCAAGCTCTAGGTTCAGTGACAGTCACTGTCTCAAAAATAAGGTGGAGAAGCAATTGAAGAAGGCATCAACTTCTGGCTTCTACATGTGCCTGCATGGGTGTGCACCTCACCCCCACCAATGTGCACATGTGCAGACACCACACACACATACACAGACACACAGACACACAGACATACACACACACACACCCCAGAACAGAGAAAAGAAGCCACATCCATGCAGTGGAATAGTATCTTACCATAGAAAGGAGAGGGTGCTGGTTGATACATACTCTTAACATACAGTGAACCTTGAAAATACACTTAGTGAAACAGGCTACTCACAGAAGAGCACATATTGTATGATTCTATTTATATGAAAGGTCTAGAATGAGTGTATCTGTAGAAACAGAAAACAGATTTGTGGTTTTCAGAGGCAAGTGTCAGAGAATGGGGACTGATTGCAAATGAGTATAAGTTTCTTTATGGGAAAATCAGAATGTTCAAAAATGAGGGACATTGTATTAGTCATTTTCCCATCACTATGACCAGATACCTGACAAAGCAACTTAAGGGAAGAAGGGTTTATTGGCTCACAGTTTAAGAGGGGTACAGTCCATCATGGCAGGAGGCACGGTTGCAGGAGTGTGAGGTGGCTGCAGCCAAGAAGCAGAGAGAAAGAAACCCTCTGCCTCTTTTTTCCTTTTTGTTTAGTCTGGTACTCCAGCCCAAGGGATGGTGCCAACCATATTCAGGATAAGGTGTCTCTCTTCAGTTAGCTCTGGAAACTCAGGCGTGTCCAGAGGTATTTCCTGGTTATTCTAAATCCTGTCAGGTTAATGATCAGGATTAATCATCATACACATCTTTGTACAAAAAAGAAAACTGAATTGTGTCCTGTAAAAGAGTGAATTTTACAGGATCTGAATTATACCAGTGCAATTGCTGTTAAACAAAACAAAGCAAACCCACAACAAAAAGAACAAATTGGGCCGTGGTTCTGCACATTGCTGCCCTATCCTTGGTACCTAAAACAGTGTCTGGCATCATAGATGTTCCAAGAAGGGAACAGATGGGAAGAAAGAGGAAGGAGAAGGAGAGAGAAAAGCAGCTCATCTCCCAGGGATCGGGGTTGGCATCTGCATTTAGGCCAGCTGCAGTCCTTTATACTAATATAGGAAATGAGATTTTAAAGAAAACTTTAGTTTCAGAATGACTTAAGTTTTAATTGTGGGGAACCAAATTTAGAAGTTATAGCGTTGACTTTTGGTAAAGGTCTGGTGGGCTCCTACATTTAGACAGGCCGGAATGAATCTCAAATCATTGAAGTGAATTGACACTCTTGAAGGAAAAAATTCTGCCCTGACTTCCTAGTGCTCTCTGCCTATCCAGCAGTTGTGTCTGAAAAGCTATTTTACGCAGTTGGCAGATGAGGGAATGGTTGCAGTTTTCTTTCTGACTTCTGGATAAAGATCCTAAGGGAGTTTGGAGAGTCCTGCTGTCCCAGCTGCCCATATCATGTACCTATTTAAATATTAATTTGCTTGGGGGGAAAGCGAGAAAATGGGGCATAAGGTAACTCCCAGTGTTATTTATTGTTTCCAGGAAGGGGAGCAGTTTGTGAAGAAAATTGGTGGTATTTTTGCCTTCAAGGTGAAGGATGGCCCTGGGGGTAAAGAAGCCACCTGGGTGGTAGACGTGAAGAATGGCAGAGGATCTGTACTTCCCAATTCAGGTCAGTGCCGTAGTGACTTCCTTTAGAGCAGTGACAATTCCCAGTGCTTTCTGGGAAAATTGGAGTTTGCTTTGGTGTCCCCCCCAAAGGTTGGCTTTAGAGGCAAAGAACCATTTAATCCTTGGGAACAGGTGTAGGTCAAAACTACCTCCCCTGAAGATGGGGAAACTCCACATCAGAGCCACCAGTCTTCGACTTTGGACTTAGATAAACTTGGGTTAGAATCTGGCCCTGTCACTCAGATTCTGATCCTGGACCAGTCATTTAACCTCCCTGAGCCTCGGTTTTCTTTCCTGTAAATGGGACTAGTGTTAAGTGTTAACCCATTTTACAGAGTAGATGTGAAACTTAAGAGAATTCTTTCTTGATCAGAGTCTGTGGCCCAGGGTTTGGTTTGCCTTGGAAGATGTGGCTGTGCTCACTGTCTCTACTTCCTCTCATCCAAATCTTTCTTGAACCCATTCCAGTGAGCTTTTGTCCTGATCTCTCTCCCAACCTGTTCTTGCCAAAGTAGCAGGTGATCACAGTCTTGCTAAAGGCAGTGGTTAATTCTATCCCTCCTATTACATGTCCAGGTTTTCTTTTATTTACTGCCTGCTCATTTTTGACCTCTTGATAATTTCTCCATCTCCAAAGTTCTAGGCAGTGGAGTTCTAGGAGTGGGGAGCTCATGTAACCTTGTGCTTTTAAAAACAACCTCTGTGCTGATGACTCCTGGGATTTTGTGTCCAACACAGACCTGCCACTGCATTCTGAGGTGTCTGTCTAGCTGCTTCGCTGACAAGTTTACAAGGACACCGTGTCTTAGGGTGTTTTCTGTTGTTAGGACAGACTGTCACAGATTGGGTAAATTAAAAACATAATGAGTGTGTTTGGCTCTCAGTCTTGGAGGCTGGAAATCCACAGCTATATCTGGTGGGGGCTGCCGTACTCTGTTAGAATGTGGTGGAAGAGCGAGTGAACATGGGTGAGACAGGAGGAGAGAAAAAGTGGGAACTGAGCTAACTTTTTCTGGAGTGTACTCCTGAGGTAATGGTATTGATCTATTGATGAGGATAGGGCCTTCATGGCTGACAGAGCCCTTTTAAAAGGCTTTACCACTTTTTTTTAAAACTTTTTTTGAATTTATTTATTTCTATTTTATGTGTATGAATGTTTTACCTGTGTGTATATAAGTGCACCTATGTTGTGTAAAGCCTGCAGAGACCAGAAGAAGACATCAGATCCCCTGGAACTGGAATTATTGACAGTTGCTGGCCACCATGTGGGTGAGGAACTGAACCCAGGTCCTCTGCAAGAGCAGCTGGTGCTTTTAACCACTGAGTCATCTAGCCCCCCAAATTTATTTTTACTTTATGTATATGAGTGTTTTGCCTGCATGTATGTAAGTGCACCATGTGTATAGTGCCCCAGGAGGTCAGAAGAGGGTGTCGGATCCCTTGGAACTGGAGTTATGGATGGTTGTTAGCCACCATATGGGTTCTGGGAACTGAACCCAGATCCTCCAGAAGAGCAGTGACTGCTCTTAACTGCTGAGCCATCTTTCCAGTCCCAAGGCTTCACTTCTTAATGCTGCTACACTGGAACCTTAGTTTTAGAGGGTACATTAAACCATAGCAACACCTAACAGGGATCTCAGAGATAGTGTTTGTGAAACAGAATTCCAGGTTCTTGTGCTCCTCTTTCTCAGTAAGTCGTTCCTGTGTCTTAGTTCTCAACCCCAAAAGCCTTAGGTCATCCTTGGCTCCTCCTCGTCTCACACCCCACATTCTAACCCACCAGTAAATCCTGTTTTCTGTCATTTCCCATGGGATCTGAGCTTTGTGTCTCCTGTTCTATCCTTGTCTCCCCAGGTTCTTCTGCACACAGTAGCCAGAAACCAAAGTCAGATTTTTATCCTTCTTTGCTTAATGCTGGCCTTCAACTCCAAGTAAAATCAGAGCTCCTGGCCCATTATTGTCTTGTGTTCTCCTTCACATCAGTAGCTGACTTCCTTGCTCTTGCTTGAGCATGTGGTATTCTCATTTGGGGTTCTGCTCTGTTCCCTCTGCTTGGAGTTGTCCCCTCCCATATGTCCTCACCACTGGATCTTTGCCAAAGTCATCTCAGCAAGCCCCTCCCTAACCTCCTTTACCATTTTCTGTCTTATTTTTTCCCTTTGTATTACCATCCTCAGACCATTTGTTCCTGTCTACCTCTCCCTTGGGAATTGCATCCGTGATGGCAGAGCCTCCTTGTCTGTTAGAGCCCCTGCTGTATTTTCAGTGCCTATAGAGGTGCCTGGTACATGGTAGGCCTTCAAAAATGTGAAGAATGCACAAACAAAGCACTGAATGGCACTTAGTGGGCATTCAGTCAGTGGAAGCCACACTGGACCGTTAGGTTTCTCTTACTGGCGAGGGCCTGGTGTAATTTAGAAATACCAAGAATTGAGACCAGCTTTTTGGAGGATTTTAAATGCCATGATAGGAACTTTGAAAGTTGCTTGATTTATGGCAATCAAATTATTAAAGCTTTTTAAGGAAAAAGTGAAATTCAGAGCTATATTTTAGAGGATGAAACTGGTACCTTGTACCTGCATTAGTCAGTTTCTATTGCTGTGACAAAACTTCTAATATTAACAAAGAGGAAAATTCTATTTTGTCTCACCGTTTTCAGAGGTTTTATGAGCAGCTGGCTCCATTGCTTCTAGACCCGTGTGTGATGAGGTAGAGCATCATGATAGAAGGACATGATGGAGGAAGGCTGCTCACCTCATGTCAGCCAGGAAACAGAGAATCAGGAACCGTCTCTGAAGCTATACCCTTCAGAGACATGCCCCAGTGAATGACTCCTCTAACCAGATACCATTTTGTTGCCAGAGTTCTCTCGGGGTCTCTTGAGCTATCAGACAAACTATATAATATATTTTAGGTGATTTTTTTTTTTATACTTTATTGCCGGTGCCAGCCAGCCAAGACGGACAGTACCTGAAAGGGGGAGTGAGGATTGAAAGAAAAAACAAGAGACAGAAAAGATACTTGGGAGGGCTGTCAGTAGAGACTGCAGCCCAGTTTATTTCAGTTCCACCTTTTATACAGAAGAACTCAATTAGTTTGAACAGCTGTTTTTCCCACCTGTATCTGAGGGTCAAGGAGCGTCAAATACTTCAAAGCCTTCTTTGATCTTTTTGTCTACCACTGTTGCCTCCAGGTCAGATATTGTGAGGCTCTCCATATAAACACATTCCTCCTGATTTGGCAGCTTAGGTACTGGTGTGCAGAACACAAACTCAGTAAACAAGCCTGCCACAGCTCAATGTACATAATAGACTAACAGCTCCCAACAGTTTATATCTTGGGGGGGGGGGTGGAGAAACTTAGACTAATGCCTGGCACCTAGTACTCAGCTCTGCACAGCGGGCCGCCACTGTTCCAGATCACTTCCACACTTGCCGCCGTATGTTCCTAGTGGCTTGTGGCTTCCATCACAAGATGGCTCCCAGAAGCCCCTCCGCAGTCCATTCTCCATGGCAGACCCCGCCCCTTAGAGGAATCAGGTCTCTGGGACACACTCTCCACCCCTTTCCTCTGCTCTTACAATTTTTCCGCCAATCTTCCGCTAAGGTCCCTGAGCCTTGGAGGGGATGACAGATGTAGGGCAATCTCTCTTGTATCATGGCAAGGTAGTGACTTCTTGGGCCTCCCCATTATCTGTCTTTAAGCCATGGCCATTGATCTATCTCAGTGGTGTTTCTTCTACTATAAAGACAGATGGAAGGAAGTAGACACATTTAAACAAACGTAAATGTAAATACAAATGTCTAGAAGATACCCTAGTAGGTGTACTATGTTCATTAAACAGTATACTTGTGGTGGCTTCCCCATTAGGGCCTATAGCCTTTCTCAACACAAGGCGTTGTCCTGGTCTACAGCACTAGATGTGTGTTCCACCCCTAGGAGCGGGCCTTACCCAATTAGAAATTTGTCAGTTGTACGTATATTGGTCGAACCATTATTACACTTGCAGGCATTGCTTGGCATGTCCATAGTGTGCAGCACGCAGTGTCCATTGTTGAGTAGATCATAGGGGATCCTTTCTTCCCCAACCATCTGCATAGCATCTTCTGGCAATTTGAACATCATCCATCCAGTGGCAGGGAGTTTTTTGGCTTAGTCTCAGTTCCATCTCTTCTTTTTCTCCCACGCTCACAACATGCAGTGTCTTCAGCAACATGGCCTGACCAACCTTTCTAGTGTACAACCGACATTAACGGCAATAGCACTGGTGAATTTGAGGACCTCTAGGATCTCTCTGACCAACAGCTCACTGGGGGCGGGGGACCGGGGACTCACCCCTGGTACTGTAGATTTTCTTAACAGTTGTATAGTTTGGGAATCTCTGTATTCATCTTACCCAAACCATAAAACTCCCAAGAATCAAGAATCTTACAGCTATAGCTGGCCTTTGCTTCTTCAGGTATCTTTCAAATGGGTTTTACATCTATAAAACACTCGAAGGAAAGTTAACGTTATATATTAAGTCAGTCATAGACAAGGTCTCACGTAGCATGAACCGGTTTTGTCCATTTGTATTAACTGTTTTCTCCATAGATCCTTGTTAGGTACCATAGCATGGGTATGAGGCATTAATTTGGTTAGCTTTTTACCATTTTTAGTTATCCCTGTGGAATCATTTCGTGCTTGGGGGATTTTACATCGAGTTTTTTTGTATTTTATTCTTGATACACTTACAGGTGTCAGCTTCAGTTGCCTGACCGTGCACTGGGCTAAGGAGGCAGGGGGCTTCTCCTGTCCCCGCTGCACTTGTTGGTTCCCTGAGTCTGCCTCCTGACTGTAGCCAGATCTGTCATCTCCCCATTGACCAAACCTGGTTGCTGGGGGAGAATTTGGTGGGAAAAACTGCTTCTACCCCTAGAATAGCCTTTATCAGAAGAGAAATGCATCTTAATTAATCCTTGGGGATTCTTAACCACCCCCTGTACAGTTTTTATCCTTTGA